AGCTCTGAAATATATCACATGGAATTGTCTAAAGCAGCGTTCTCACGAATCGATTTTAGTAGAACGAATTTTTATTGATCAACAAAAATCGAATAAAAATATACTTGTGAACCGTGTTTTCGAACAATTTTAGTTGAACCGAAAAAGTGTGATCCATTCAAAACTTATCGATCAATTTAATGCGTCATAGGCGATTTTCAGACAAGTTGAAACGGATTTGAAGCGTGTGAACTGTAGTCAGTCGAGTTTCGCATTGAATAAAGTTGATTTTGAGGCTCGTGTGCTTGTTGTGTGTGGAAAAAAGACAAAAAATGAGCATGAAGTGGTCTGAAAGTATTGTGCTGCATTTTTTGGATTTATATCAACAGCATCACAGTTTATGGAATACCCTACTCTAGAGTTATCGAAATTGAAATTGTTCTTCGGACATTCTCAAATGATTTTTGTAAGCATCCTTGTCCTCTAAAGCCAGCTCCTTGAGCAGGGTTCCTGAAACGCCCAATTTATTTCTTCGCAATATCCAAGTCCTGACCCAAAACCAACATTTTCTGGATTTTCTGTCAAATTTTGACAAAATGTCTCCGATTTCTTCATTTAGTAATTCGTAAATAGCTGCTATGGCTGCTTGGACAACTTCGTTGGCAGCCATTTTAGAAACAACTAGCTCATCAATTTTTATTATGTGTGTGAACAAATATTCGTTTCGATTTAAGTTGATCAACGTAAGACACGTGAGAACGCTGCTTAAGTCATTTTTTGGGCAAGGTAGATTTATTTTGTAATCCTGCGACCTATCACAATGATAACTTCATAAATCTACTCTATACTATTTCAAAGAAAAAAATCTCAAAATCCGTTGCCGAAATTACTGTAAAATGGAGAAAAGGAACATCCATAAGCAAACATAAAGATACCAAGTATCAACAATCGAATCAACCTAGTCATTCTTTCATTTTTCTCCGTTAGCATTCCCGTCACCAATTTTGATGTTTTAAGGAAAATTATCACATGTCTTACCTTGGAATTTTTGTCCTTCTTGGTATCCCATCCCGTAGGCAAATCTCTGGACGTGTCGGCGAACATATTGACTAGAGCTACCAACTCCTTGTTGTGTTGGTATTTTTCGAAAACGCCCGGATCTCTCCGTATCCTAACGATCATGTGCTTTAGGGTCGGGTTCCTGTTGTAGAGAGACAGGGCCTCCTGAAACAAAAACAAAGATTGTTGTAATTGGTCGGTTCAAAAAAAGTCGTATGTCCAACATGCTTTTTTTTTTACTGAAAACGCTTCATTAAAGGTAGATGCGTATTCTGGATATATCAGGTAAATAAATAAGTTCGTGCAGTTTTTAGTAGAAAAATATAAATTTTTATCGAGAAACAATAAGACATTATTTATTTGTCGAAGTAATCACCATCACATTCAATGACCTTTTGCCAACGTGGAACCAATTTTTGTATACTTGGATTTGGAGTAAAAAAAAATTGGCGGATGCATTTATTACACCATCTCGTGCTGTTTGGGTGCAAGCAAGCCTTGGGCGTGTGTGGTACCGAATCAGTAGGCGACAACCAATGATACGAACGCTTAGAATTCGAATACAAAATCCATTTTTCGTCGCAGGTTAATAACCGATTAAGAAACAAACGGTAAGACGGCTTAATTTGTTATCATTTGTCAGTTCATGTGGGACCCATTTGCTTAACTTCCACGTCTTTCCTAGCTGATGAAGATGCAAACGAATAGTTTCAGGACTCACTCTGAACATCTCTGCAAGTTCTTAGCACGTTGTCCTAGAATTTGCGTCCACAACCTGTCGAAGATCCTCGTTGTTCATGATTTTTGGTCTTCCTGAGCGCAGTTCATCGCTCAAACTGACATCTTCCAAAGAAAATTCGTTGAACAACTTCTGTGAACGGCATCATCTCCGAATGGGGTACATATCTTTCGCGCTGCCGCTGCAGCTTTTGTATCAAGTTTGTACTCATACAGTGAACAACTTCGAATTGCTGTTTTATTCGTCGCCATTTTAAATGATTAAAACTAGGTATGTAACAATTTCCAGCAACTTTTTATGTGTGTGAGAAAAGAAGGATTCATACTAAAGTGACAACAGGTAACAAACAATCGCTATCGATCAACAACATCGATGGCAATGTGCGATACACAGCAACCGCACGAACTTATTTGGTTACCTGATACATCTCGTAAGTCTCTACATTCCTTCCAATTCAAATAACACCACCTAATACACGTTCAGTGCAAAAACAATGCATGTCCGGGACTTTCTTAGTTTTTGCACGCACTTTTATTCAGCAGGTACCTGAATGGGTCATTTCAAAAACAGTCCAGTATCCCTGTATTGTTTTATTTCATATTTGAGTAAAAAAAAATATTTGTTAATTACTTGACACTGTACTTACGGTAATCACGTCATATATTTATTGATTTATACATACAGGGTGAGTTTTTAGTGTGGGGTCGGTCGATAACTTTGCTATTGAGCATGATAAGTTTAATTCTAAAATTGCAGCCAACAATATGGTCCTAATTTCGAAAATATTTTAATCTCTACAGAGCGATTCATAACTATACTATACATAATTATACTTTTTAAATGGAATGCCCTACATTTTATTACAAATTGGGATAGGCCCTTTCGAACAAAGCAATTTGATATAAAATGCTATAGGGTTTTATTTTCAAATTGTTGAGGCATCGAAAAAAACATTTAACTTTGACAACTAACACTTCCGCAACTGTTATAACCAGAGTACCGAATTTTGCAGCAGAAAGATTTTGTGATTCCATATTGTCTCCCTGTATTCTTACTTTTTCATTGTTTTTTCACATTTTATACAGGGTGGTCAAGAAAGCCAAAATCAACTTTTTCTCAAATGGAACACCCTGTATATCTTAACATTTTTTTTATTCTTCTTTGCGCAAGCTTTTTTCTGAGATATGGTTTATAAGGGCTTGTGTGACCGGTTTTTGAGTTGCCAAAAATACAGGGACACCTTGACTTTTCGACTTAATTGCATAAGGTTGGGTAAATTTCAGCCCTAATGAAAATAAACCAATTGGCATAAAATTTTTAGGGTCGTAGAATCTAGAACTTTAGCTATAACAGTTGAGTTAGTTGCGAGTTGTCAAAGTTGAGTCGCTTTTCAATAAATTGTCCAATACCTCAAAAATTTAAAAATAAAACCTTATAATATATATATATATATATATATATATATATATATATATATATATACAGGGTGTTCCATAATTATTGCGACAAAATGATAGGTGTTGTAGAGGGCATCAAAATGAACAATTTTGCCTTATAAACCCCTGTTCGGAAATATGCCGTTTGGGCTGCAACAAAAAAAAAAGATCAGTTTCTTGAAACAGCTTACCTACAGTAATTGCTCAAAGTGTCCTCCACCTTGCTCAATACACAGCTGTGCACGATTGTTCAATGATCGGCGAACTCTGTGGCATACCCCTGGTATGTCCTGAACATGTGCGGACGCGGCCATCATTCTTCCCAGTAGCTCTTGTTGGTTGGGAACAGGAGTTTCGAACACTAAAGCTTTCAGATGGCCCCAGAGAAAATAATCCAGTGGGGTCAGGTCGGGTGACCTCGCAGGCCAAGGCACAGGGCCACCTCGACCTATCCACCTATTTGGAAATTTGTCGTCCAAATACTGCCGCACTTGTAAAGAAAAGTGGGCTGGAGCGCCATCGTGTTGAAACCACATGTTGGCTCTTATGTTCAGTGGCACATTTTCTAATAGTTCCGGTAGTACATGCTGTAAGAATCGACCATAAGCATGCCCATCCAAACGTGGTGGAAGCAAATATGGCCCGATGATATGCTCGTCCACAATGCCGTACCAGATGTTAATTGAAAACTGATGTTGGTCTCTATGGATGGCTATGGCATGAGGGTTTTCTTCATCCCAAATGTGACTGTTACGGCTATTAAAATAACCGTCCTTTGTAAAACAGGACTCGTCAGTGAACAAAACGTAGCGACCAAAGTTTGGTTGTCTCAACTCCATGAATCCTTGCAAAAATGGCGTGATGCGGATGAGGACGTTCTGGAAACCGTTGGGCGTAGATTCGCGAGGCTCGTCTTCCGTTACCACCAGCTTCTTCGTAAATTAAATGCATATCCGCAAGTTCCGCATACGAATAACGCTGCATTTTAACACTAAGGTACTGTTATTTACTATCTAGTTTGACGCACCACTCAGATAAATTAAATGAATCGGTGTGGAGAATTTACGATAACAAAAATGTAAACACAGCAGGCTTTTTTTACAAACCGGCGAGACCATGAAATGTGCTAGACGAACATTTTGCAGCTGGTGAATTTTTTGTTTCTCCTATGAGCTCTTAAGGTAAAATTAGCGGTAGTGCTCAAACGGCATATTTACGAACAGGGGTTTATAAGGCAAAATTGCATATTTTTATGCCCTCTACAACTCCTATCATTTTGTCGCAATAATTATGGAACACCCTGTATATATATATATATATATAAAAAGTAGGAAAGTTATGGGCAAAATCCGCAAAAAGGAGGAAAGTGGATTCGAGCAGAAAATAGGAAATAAACACATGTTTGGATCACGACGTAGTTATAAATCATCAATATATTTTCCAAATAAGGAGCATTCTGTTTCCTACAATTTTTGTAATTAAATTTTTCAGATCCCTTGCCTGATAACGGAGTTATCGACCAAGCCCACACTGAAAACTCACTCTGTATATATGTAGTGTAACATATAAGGTTGACAAGTCAAATGTTATAATTTCTTATAACCGACAAGACAATAAAGATTACCTGTCTATCTATCTATCTATCTAGAACATCTACAGGGTGTCACAGTAGGCATCTTCGTTTATTGTTTTGAAAAATTTTGGAAACGTTCCCGAAATAAGTATGCTGTTGGGAATATATAGTAGCTACTGTGTTAAATATCAGTTCATCGTTCGAATATAGAACACTTGGAGTAGCTAATTTGGAACATTTTGAGCAATATACTGATTTATTTTTGCAGATAATGTTCACCACCTAAAATACTTTATTTCTAACCTGATTCATATGAAGTATCGTGAAGAAATCCGGCCTGGTAAGGAGCTTACAACCAGGTGGTGCTTGGATATCTCCCGACATGGCTCCAGTACCTCCGCCAATAGGACCTGAAGCTTCTATCCTATTCTGACTTATAGTTCTGCAAAGATATAAAAGTTTAATTAAAATCTTAGCCAAACTATAAAAAATTCAACACGAATGGCAAACCATAGTAAATAATGATAATACAACTTAGCTCATATCTTAAAGCCTTTTATACGAAATTGAAGTGGAATGACATTGGTTTAAAATTAACGACGAAATTGGCTGTAAATCTTTATTTTTTTCTTTCAAACTAGCTGGTTAAGTTTCTGTTACCTTCGAATGCTTTGGTACCGCCTATCTAACTGCCTCCTATGTTGCTGTTCTTGTGCCCCAGCAGCTGTTTCTACAGTCCCTGTAGCCCCACTGCCTGCTACTGAACCAGGTCTTGTCCAGGACGTCGTTCTTGTTGCATGATCTATGTAGAATACTCTACCGTGGCTGTCCATTCGAGCCTCCCAAGCTAAAAAAAAACAATATATTATGGTCCTGTGAGTCATACTATTATCGTATAGGGTTTCACAAACGGTTTAGTCATGTCAGCTATATATTTCCATAATTGATAACAAAGTATAAATTATGTGGCATTGTCATTCTGTGACTGCTAACGTTCCGATCATAGATTTATTATTAATACACTTCAGATAATACACTCCTGTATACTTTTTAGAATAATCTATGGCAGTGTAATTTGAAGAAAACGATCTTCACTAAATCTCTATAAGATATAAAGGCTCGTTCGACTTTTAAATACTGAAACAGTCTATTTAAATTCCACTAATCCACAGTCTCAAAACGAGACTGCCACTAGATTGTCAGTTTCGTTGGAAACGCAAAGACAACGTAACAAAGTGAAAATCGAGGTAAAGTTGGGTTGTAAACGGGTTACTTTTGGTGAGAACGGTGCAATGATGGGTGTAAGATTTATGACCTAATAACTAATTGTAAATTAAGAATATTAGTTCTATGCTTACACGGTGGCAATGGCTCTTCGTGTTCCCCCATTTCTGCTAATACTCTATGGCTCCTTTCAGGTATAGATGGCAGTCTTGTCGTGCTTAGCCTTTGGAGTGGTAAAGGTACTCCTCCACTTGCCTCGCCATTTGCATCTCTAACCCTGAAAGACAACAAAAAATGGCGTCAAGTAGGATGACTCTGTGCACTTATCACGTCGTTATTGGTTCATAAAGGATTATGTTCAGCACACACGTGACCCTCTGAGATTAAAGTTAATCACAGGCCCATACAATTAGACAATAGACATTCTTTCCCTGCCCTACTGGTAGACCATTTGGCAACGTCACCTCTCCCCGATACCTGAGTTGGACAGACGTGGCACCGCAGCCACAGCATAGGAAACACTATGTTATCAATGTCGTATAGCAGTCAAAAAACATATCTCATTTTCAAAAATTCAAGAGTAGAGGTAAAATCATAGAATCCACAATATGGGCTCATTGTCGGAGTACCGCGACTAATGGAAAGAAGTTGAAGATACACAGTTTGGGAAACCATTTTCTTAATAGATCTCTAGATTTTCAATGCCATAGCAACAAAGGCTGCGGCTGTAAGAACAGTTCTTTCTGGATGAGACGTAAACAAGTACACAGATCGTCATTGTCACCAGGAGAAGATCAAATACCAAATGAACTCTTAAAATATGGAGGTGATTACCTTGTACAACTGCAACTCCTTATTCAAGAAATAATCACCACGAACAGAATTCCAGATGAATGGAGGAGAGCGATCATGCTGATGTTCTTCAAGAAAGGAGAAAAGAAAGACCCCAAAAATTATCGAGCAATAAATCTGTTAAATACAATACTCAAATTGACAACAAGAATAATAGCGACACAAATAATCGAACGAATAACTCTGCAAGAGGAACAGCAAGGATTCCGGACAGAAGATCATGCACGGATGCAGTTTTTGTAATAAGACAAACAAAAGAAAAGTCGCTGGAAAACAACAAACCAGCATATATGTGCCTGATAGATTTGAAGAAAGCGTCTGATAGAGTGAGAATTCGGGACGCGATACATTTATTATATCACAGGGGAATACCACTGGATTTAGTAAAAGCTATTGAGAATATATATAAAGATAACAAAGCTATGGTAAGATGTAAAGGAAAACTCTCGCAACCTATCAAGTATGAAACTGGCATTAAACAAGGAGATTCGCTGAGCCCACTAATATTTAATCTGATAATGAATGAAATCATAAAGAAAGTTAAAAAAAGAAGAGGATATAGAATAGGAGAAAAGGAAATGCAGATAATATGCTACGCCGACGTCGCCATAATAATAGCCGAAAATCAAGATGACCTACAAAGATTAATTAAAGAATTCGAAGATACGGCGCTCATATACAACATGGTGATTTCAACAGAGAAAACTGAATCGATAGTGATATCAGCGGAACCAAGACGATGTAAACTGGTCGTAAATAACAAAATAATACAACAAGTGATGGAAACGGAATACTTGGGAATCAAACTGTCAAGCTATGGAAAAGTGGAAGAAGAAGTATAAAAACAAGTGAACATGGCGAACAGAGCAGCAGGATGTCTCAACAATACAATCTGGAGAAACAAATACCTCACAACGGAAACGAAAACTAGGATATATAAATCAACAATGAGACCGATAATGACGTACACAGCGGAAACAAGAGCAGATATGGCGAAAACACAAAGATTATTGGAAACAGCAGAAAATGAAAGTCTTACGAAAAATAACAAATCAAACTCTAAGAGACAGAGTAAGAAGTGAGGAAATACGAGCGAGATGTGGTATAGAGGAAATAAACCTGTGAACCAAAAGAAGAAAAATAGAATCGAATCAACACATAGAAAGAATGACAGAAAATAGAACAGTACGAATAGCAAAAGACAAATCGCCAAATGGAAGAAGATCAATGGGACACCGAGGAAAAGATGGTCAGTCAATATCAATTGAGGCTAAAACCGAAGTAAAGCAGGCATCAGCCTATTAATAAAGTAGGAAGAAGAAGAAGTCATTGTCAATAATTTGTACTCTAAAAAAGGCCATCACTGCAATGCAATTAGCACATATCGTCTCTGGGCGTTAGTCGGACAATGACCATTTGGAGTTAGCACCACCAGAAATCTCTAAGAGTGGATATCTACCTATCTAAGTGGCGTATCGCTCCTCGTTATAGTTAACGAAATATGGCAAATCAGTATGTGGATGGATCTCTTATTCTTACTAGTGCTAAAAGGACAAACGGGCATATATCGCGTCTCCTGTAAAATAGCTGAATTGGAGTTACGCGTCTTTGTCTTTCCAGCGACGATATGTGGTTCCATTTGGCCAAAAGTTCATGGATTTCAACCAAATTCAGCAAGTAAAAATATGAAAACAAATACCAGCCTGGAAATGCTTCGTTTTTATGATTTTACTCATTTGTTCAAATGGTATGAGTTCATGAGAAAATAAGACGTGTCGTTTTGAGAAAGTCATTAATTCCGCTTAAAAAGTGGAATTGCGAGTTTTTCGTTATGTTCGTTTCCAAGCATAGCACCAAACTACAGGCAGTCAGGCTGGTGGAGGATTCACCCTCAGCATGAGCATCTTGCTTTTGTATGTCTCAAAAGCCTCTGACAAGGTGTGGCACGCGGGCCTCCTCTATAAACTAATCCAAAAGGGTTTTCCTTTTGGCTTCTAAAATTACCGAAATCCTTTCTTGGAGGAAGGAAGTTTCGGGTTAAAATTAACAATGTTTTGTCAACAACACGGCCTGTACGAACCGGTGTTCCTCAGGGTCCTTTCCTCGCTTTTTATCCATGATGTCCCTTGCCCTAGCAACTGTGAAGTCTACCTCTATGCCGACGACTCTGCACTTGTCACCCAGTCGTGTACTGGTGTTCTGGTTCATGATGGGTTGCAGAGTGTGGTGATCGAAGTACTAGAGTAGGCGGAACGGTGGCTGATTAAAATTAATCATTCGAAAACGCAGGCTATTTATTGTATCAAAATGTATCAAATGAGACACTATACAGAGACCTTGACATCCCTTACTTGAGGGATAATGTCAAGCGACGTTCTAGTCAAGCGGAATCGCACAGCAACCCTATGTTGCGTGGATCAGTGGACTACACAGTTGAGTAAGTTCGTAAGCATTCAAGGTTACGGCTCGTACTGTGATCAAAAATTACAGCGAACTTTTAGTAAACTCAAAATTACACTCTAACAAAACCAGAATCAAAATTTGTTTTTAGTTCAGTCAAAAAGGCTATGTGATTCCCATTAAATAAATACACGTCAGTTTTTCTTTGCTTTTCTCCTTTTTTCTCTTCTTTCTCTTTTTTCTTGACATTGTCTGGTTTCTGGACAACCAGGACTGACAGATTCGACTAACGTTCATTAGACAATGACTAACGGGCAAAGGTCCTACGGACCGCCCAGACAAACAAATGACGAATAGTAGTGGTCATGTTCGTTGATAAACTGTCAACTCGATTAATATTAATTGACGTATGATTCGCAAAATTTTTATTTCGGTTCAGAAAAGTAACGACTGTAAATGAGACATTTTTAAAGTAGAATCTTGCTTTAAGACATAGAGATTTGCCGACGCGAAAACGACAGGTGTAAGTGCTTTTAAAAATATTCTTATACGTGACGAGCGAATATTTTATAACGTGGCAATTCCGTCCTTCAAATTCGCTTGTTGCTTGACGATTTCTTCCAGGAGACCCGACAAGTGGCAACATGACAGAGGAAAGCGGCATGCTGAGAAGGTGTCACTGGATAGTCGGTCGGATTGCTCTGCTTTAATCCCCATCAAATCTGAACAATACTTTCGGGGAGCAGCCTCCAGAAAATATCTTCTCCATTCCCTTACTGTCTTAAACATGTAACCAAAACTTGACCTCACCTACTCTGGACCTCTCCGTCCTTGCCCTCCTCAGCTGTCACACCAGCAGCCGCAAGACCTAATAACCTCACCCCGTCTTCCTCTTGACCGCTATTCGCCGCTCCTGCAGCGCCATCTTCTTCCGTCGCCGTTGCGATGCTAACGGTGAGGTCAGGAGGCTCGGTCGATTTGAGGTCTGGAGGTCGCAAATCGCCGCAGTTCGATCTCGTAACGCCGCGTCGTCTGGCACGATGAGTTGGTGTAGGTGGACAGACTGGGAGGCTGGCTAGGTCATTGGATATCGCTGCCACCTGAAAGAGATAAAAAAAATTACTTCACTTTTACGAGAAACTGATTCGACTGGTATATTTTGCGACTTAAGGGCACTTTCTATTTTACCGCAAGCGTAGTTCCAGGATATCACGCCTCATTGTTGACCGATTTTAATGCAGTTTTTAGCTCAATAATCAGGCAAAAATTGTTAAGTTCGGGAAAAAACTTGTGTTTTGATAGTAATTTTTTGTCAAAAATAAATTATATTTCATTACTTTTTTGTGGAATCTTGTAGAATCTTTAGAAAACTATTTCTTATTACCAATTTACAAATTTGAAGCTTCTAAATTTAAAAACAACTGAGAAAATCAGGAACTACGAAATGCATTTTATCTCGTAAAACAGCGCCGCCTGGCTTGACTCTATGTAACGAGGGTATGGCTGTTTAAGCCAGTAGCGTACCTGTGAGAGTATAAAGGGATGATTGACACTCAACTGCATTGATCATCAAAAACTGAGTGAAAAGTTAAACAGTACGGTATCAGAGGTCCTCTCATCTATATTTTTATTTTTTAATAACAGGCTGCCATATGTTGCAATTAAAACCGTTAATATCCTATTAGGGGCGAATTTTATTTGCTCAGGCATCGACAAAGTTACGATTGGTGTGCTCCAAGGCTCTACTTGGGCCCCCTTTGTTCATTTTGATTTGCTTCTGGAATGATAGCTTCAGAAACACAACATAACCTAACTTTCTGCAGACTTCTGTTCCTAAAATAATAGGGACATATTTTTTTATGTCACAGATATCTTTTTCTTGAAATTTCAAATCGTATTCAGTATGTCTGTTGCTTACCCTTTGTAAGCCTTTAGGATGCGGCCTAACAATTTCCAAGCCACTTAAATGAGCTGTTGGTGCTAGCACTGGCCTATGAAGTGGCGTATGTTGTCCTCCACAGTCTTCTAGACTTTGTTGTTTAATCTTCTCCATATCAGGCACCTATCAAACAAAAATAAAATAAAAGAAAACATTCATAACAACCATCTCTGTTGTAGTAGTAGTGATGGGGAGGCAGTCACCTTTGACCCTTTTTGACTACCTCTTAGTGCCAATACTGTGCTAGTCCACAAGTCATCTACTAGTAACTGATTACTAAATAAACCAGTTCCAGTGACGCGATGTATCCGTAAGTTTAGCTCCTGTGATAGCAAAATAATAGAAAAATAGTTCAAATTAGATTGAGAGACTTTCTAAAAACCAACAAAATTATAATGGACGACAAAAATTTATGAAAACGAACTATTAGATATACGAGGGATGTCTTTTAAGTTTTGCATATGGAAATAAAACAACACGGTAGGTAGTTTTAAGAGGAATTGTTGCAATATGACCCGCTTTTGACACAAATGTCGCGACCATCTTTTTCGAAACACTTCGAGAACGGATGACTTTTGTTGGATTTTCTTCACCTTGGAACACCCAAACAGCCGACTGTCGTTTATTTTCTGGTTGATAACAGTAAATCCACGATGCATCACCACTAACAATGCTGTACACATTTTTTGAGTTTCCGGAATTGAAACGGTCAAGCGTTTATTGACACCAATTAACGCTGACTGATTTCTGCTCTTCAGTCAACAGGTGGGGTATCCAACGAGAAACTAATTGTCTTACTCCTAATTCTTCATGTGAATTTTTTTTAATTGAGGTCTTTGACATCTTCAAGGACGCCTCAATCTCGCGATATGTCACATCTCTATCTTCAATGATGAGTTTGCGCACAGCATCGACGTCTTCCTGGGTGACTGCCGTCTTTGGTGCACCCACCCTGGGATCGTCGCTAAGACTCACCCGTCCACGTTTGAATTCTCCATACCAACGGGAAATTGTCGACTGATGTGGCGCTTTTTACTGAAAACAGACAGTAACTCAGCAAGGCATTTTTGTTGCGATAATTGTCTCTGAAAGTTGTAATTAATTATGGCGCGAAAATGTTCTCGGTTGAGTTCCATTTTTCTAATGACTTGGTGACACTTAAAATTCACTGTAGTGAGAACACTGCACGTATTGTTGTGAAAGTTTGAATTTAAGTTTACTATGAGTGAGGTTAAGGTTCAGTACTGACGTTTGATCCGCGCGGCCTACTATGTTTCTATATGCAAACTTAAAAGACATCCCTCGTATATCTAAAAGCAATCCTAGAGTTACATGCAGGCCTTTATTTGTAAAGCTGACGTATCACTGTTGATTTCAGTAACACTAACTTTTGTTTTTAAAAATAAATCTAAATTTGAAACATTAAATATAAGTTACTATATTACACGGAAACAAGATCCTTAATTAGTAGTACCTAAAACAACACTTGTGAAAGACTGAATAATTATTTATAATGGTCTGAAAATTTACATGTGTCTCCCTGATGCTATCAAAAGAATTAACAATTTAAAGACATTCCGCCATAAACTTGAAAAATGTTTAATGTGTAAACCATATTATACCTAACACAACATCCATGACTCGGAATTAACTTCCGAGGCGGAGATTCGAACCACTCGTCTACATAGGCCCCCTGAGAATCATCCCTGATATGGATCAATAGTTATAAAACTTATTTATTGTAGAGTTTTCCTGGATCCGAACAAAACATCAACTTTAGTAGTTAATGATCATTTCATTAGTGTCAGTAGATTTCTACCTAACCTTATACATCAATAATTACTGACATTCTGGCTTCCACGTACAATAAATATCACATTCCACGGTTAATACCGACAGATCACAGTAAATAATGATCGTATGACATTCGCCGGACAAAGTACTCGAGGTAGATATAAAACGTTTGAGTGAGTTCAAGCGTCTATAAGGAAGAATCCGGGAATCAAATAATAAAAATGAACTGAACGGCATCGGAAATACCAACTTTAACAAAGTACTTTACTTAATTGATTAAAAATCTCCAACTAATATATTGTCATTATAACGTTATTCAAATTAAATTGTTTTATGATATTCTTACCTGTCTAGTAAGCGGTTTATGCGGTTTAGCTAATGACTCTGAACTAAAACAACCATCTACTGCATCTGTTGAGGAACTACTGTGCGACGAACTTTGACTATCTTTCTTCTCTAAGAGTATATGGTGGTGTTGGAGGGGTAATTGAGGACTAGAATCTGCAAAAACAAAATATAAATTCTATAAAATTCACTACTAAAGGTCTTAGTTCATTACCCCATCATAGCATACTCGGGAACCGAAAAGGAAGATAGCACCGAAATATACCGCATGCCTTTGCAAACGCGGCATCTTTTCGAATAGAGTCGGCGTCAGGTATAGTAGACGACAACGATATTGTATTCGTTAACTTTTTTTGCGGATAGTCACAAAACGGATATAAAACCGAGAACCGGAGGCATGAGGACAGAGACGGGTCTGAAAATTTTCAAACAGTTTCTCTTGCAAGCCTAGATGAGATGAGAGATGACTGAATCAAGTTGTTGAAGTAACGTTGATTGTTATAGGTTTCGAATCTCTGAAATGTTCGCAGGGTCAACTCTCGCCTCTTTCCATCAATTGTACCATCTCTGGAAGGTACAGAGATGCCCCCTTGTCAATTCTTCTTTTCCTTGGTTTGACACCGTTACGAATAATTTTACGAATTGTAGGATATCGCATGTTAGTCAGTTCGGCTGTTTTTTAAAGGACACTACTATTGCCGCTGTCACCCATTTCACGTAACAGGCCGTTATAAAAATTAATACAAATCTGTTGAACATAAACAGACAGGTACTTTCTTTTCACTGTCCGAATCGTCTTTGCTGCAAGATGGGTTTTCATCATTCATAGCGCCTTTGTACATATAATTTTCGATGTCCGTGGGCCGCTGACCTGCCTAAGCAGATCGTTCCCAAGGGCGGAAAAAATTCGTATCGCACATAATTATTATTCAAGATGTCGTCCGTTAACCTCCATTGTCTGCATAGATCTGAAAATATATTCCCGAATATCGCTTTGTTGCATCGCGCTTATTCACCTGCGCGCGGGGCTCGGGAGGGCAGCCACATTATGTTAACTTGTTGGTATGAGAGTATGGAAACAATGCGATTTTTTAAATTCGCTACATTCAACCCAATTGTATCAAACTATTAGAGATTTTTAGTTTATTGCACATTGCTCAAATGTATAATTTATACAGATGAACCACATTCCATTATTATTTATACCGTGTCATATAATAACCGTACTATATGGCGGGTGGGTAATACAAGGAAGAAGGAAAAATGCAAACGAATACAATATCGTTGTCGTCTACTATACCCCGCCATATCCACAAACATACTGTGTGATCATGGGTGTACCATGTTTTTCACTGCTCTCTTCCTGTTCGGTTGCCTAGTACAGGTTCATGACACGAACGTAGTATACGAGGGAAAATCAAATATGAACCACTTTTAAACGCTCTCTAGGTGAAGTAAATGATGACTTCATATACGTTGAGTGGAGATGTACGGTGGGTAGAAGTAAACCGTCTGTGAGTAGCATCATGTCTGTCAACAATTGTTGTATCGACTACTACACTGTTTGATGAAAAACAGTTTCAAGACTCATGTCTACGTCTGGCACAAAAAGCCGGCCGCAAAAAGCCAATATACGTCTTGCTGCTGGGAAATTTCTCACAGCGATTTTTGGAACTACACGCATAATGCTTCTTGGTCTTCCACATGGACGGCGCAACTGTTTGATGATGTAAAAAGGCGAAACATTTCAAGTAGCACTAAAAAAAAGTAGGAGAAACCTAACGAAAAAAGTGGGACAAACCTAACGGAAAAAGTTAGTCAAACCCAACTAAAAAAATTGGGACAAACCTAACGAAAAACCTGGGACAAACCTAACGAAAAAAAGTGGGATAAATGTAAAGAAAAAAAGTGGGACAAACCTAACGAAGAAAGTAGAACAGACCGAATGAAAAATAGTGAGACAAACTTAACAAAAAAAAATGGGACAAACCTAACTTAAAATCTGGGATAAACGTAACGGAGAAGTAAAACAGACCTAACGAAAAAAGTAGGACGAACCTAACGAAGAAAGTGGGACAAACCTAACAGAAAAAAATGAGACAAGCTCAGCGAAAAAAAATGGGACAAACCTAACGAAAAACCTGGAATAAACGTAACGGAGAAGTGGGACAAACCTAACGAAAAAAAGTAGGACAAACCTAACGAAAAAAGTGGGACAAACCTAACGGAAAAAGTTAGACAAACCCAACTAAAAAAATTGGGACAAACCCAACGAAAAACCTGGGATACCTAACGGAGAAGTGGGACAAATCTAATGAAAAAAGTGGGACAAACCTAAAGAAAAAAAAAAGTGAGACAAACCTAACGAAAAAAAGTAGGACAGACCTAACGAAGAATGTGGGACAACCCTAACGAAAAAAATCGGGACAAACTCAACGAAAAACTTAGGATAAACCTAACGGAGAAGTGGGACAAGCCTAACGAATAAAAGTGGGACAAACCTAACCAAAAAGGTAGTACAAACCTAACGAAAAAAGTGGGATAGTACCAACGAAAAAGATGGGACAAACCTAACGGAAAAAAGTGGACAAACCTAACGAAAAACCTGGGATAAACCTAACAGAAAAAAAAACTAGTATTTGAGGGTTAAATGGATTTGTTGTGGTAAAAAGATTATAGTTTTAAAGTTACCTGGAGATATACTGCCAGAACTTAAGAACTGTTCAGCATTTAATACTGCTTTTAAAGAGTCTAATAAGGTCATCAAATAAGATTAATCATTCTTAAGACTCAAGACTAAATCGTTTTAATTCCATGCTTTACTCTGGGATGAGTGCTCTTGAAACGGTACAAAATAAAATACTTAGATCCTAACGTTGTTCTGACGACTGAATACATGTGTTTATCCAATTTCCGGCCATTTTGCCTTCTCGAGACGCTGGAAGCCATGATGGAGAACAATATTGAGGCTCACAGAAAAATGATAAATTATCATGGTAGACAATATTTTTTGAGATGTATTTGAACAAACCTCTAATGAAACATTTTGCATTTATTTGCTCCCCGTTCGTATGTCTCAAAGACTAAACCTAAACCGCACTGATGAGTTGCTAACGAGCACGAAACAGCGCTGTCTTAAATGAAACAGTTCAAACCTATTTGTGGTTGAGATTACTTACTTTTACTTAGCACTGTCGTTATATAATTATCACAACCAATAAGTTTCTTGCCGTTTTCAGCAAAAGCAGCCTTCAGTTTATGAGTTGGAGTACTGGTCATTTCAACGTCAGACAAAGAAGATGCTGTTGATGCTGTACCAAAAGACCTGAAAGAATATAAATGTGTAAGCTTCAAATATTAATAGAGCATTGACATATAGTCGTTAATGATATTAATCCAGTTTCCACGAGCTAAATTTTATAGTAAGTCGTGAAATAAGCTTCGTCTGCAGATGAATGAAACAATGCTTCAGAATTAATTAAGGAAAATTTGCTAACACACAACATATTGTCAAGCAACTGTTGAGGCAAACCCTTAATATCGTGGCACTACAACTTTTCATAATCTAATGAAGCAGATTATAATAAAAGTTTGAACTGTGAGTGGACCAGAAAAGATTTCTATTGCCAGTGGTTAGATTGAAATATTTCACTGTTTACAAAGCCCCCTGACAGTCAATTTTTGGAAACAATGGTGTAAACTAAATAAGATCGTCGTTCTTTATATGTACTTGAACCACCTCGAAGTACCAAGGCCTACACACCCATGGGTACCGTGGGGCTACACAGGGTTATCCAAATTAAGTGTCCACCATTAGTAACTTTGTTATTAGTGAAAATACAAAGTTGTTTGAATTAGCAAACTAGTAGCATTTTTAACGCTGGTAAAAATGAGAAATAAAAAAAAACAATTGAGAGTCGTTATTTTGATTTTTTTCAGTAAAATAACATTTTTTAAATGGAAACCCCTGTATATTATATTTTTTTCTGTTAAAGCATCAAATTTTAAACAAAAAAGCTTACAATAACTTTTCTCCTAGGTTACAAATTGTTGAAGTTATGGCCTCCAATCTGAAACAATTAAATTGTATCGACAAACTTTATTTTCAACATCAACTTACGTATAATCTTACAAAATACAATAACAATTTTTTTTAAAGAAGATGCTCGAAAACACCACCTTGTTCTTCAATACATTTTTGGGCACGTTTTTCAACTGCTCGAACTGTCTTAAGTATGGTCCTACCATCTATCTGGGTTATCTTTTCCCTAACTGCAGTCTTTAACGCGTCAAGGTTATCGTACCTTCGCTTGTAAATTTGGTTCTTTAAGTAACCCCACAAGAAGTAATCAAGTGGGTTTAGATCTGGTGATCTGGGAGGCCACTGTATTGGGCCATTTGTTCCTATCCACTGATCATTAAAAGTAGTACTTAGAAAATGATAAGTACCTCTGGAGTTGTGGGCAGGTGCGCCATCTTGCTGAAAATGCAGATGATGTCTACTTATAAGATCCAATTCGTCTAAGAAATTAGTCAGAATTTCTGACATAAATTCCACATATCTTTCACCAGTTAGGGTTCCCTCATAAAAGAACGGGCCAACAATTTTTGAACCAATTATACCGCACCAAACGTTGAAACTGAAACGGACTTGTGGGCCTCTTGGATGTACTAACAAAAGATTTTCTCTTGACCAATAATGGTGTTTTTTTTTATTAAATATTCCAGAATTTGAAAAATTTGATTCATCTGTCCATAAAAGATAACGAAAGTTATTTACATTTTGGCGACAGAAGCTAAGATACCAATGGCAAAAAACAAGTCTTCTCTCTGGATCCCCTGCCAAAAGCGTTTGAACTGGTGGGTACTTATACGGAATAAATTTGTATTTTTTTAAAATCCTTTGAACAGTACCATAACTGAAATTAGAGTCCTTGAGAATATCTGCTATTGAATTCTCACGATAAGCTTCAAAATATCCAATAACTGCAATTTCCGTGGCCTCGCTTATTATGAATTCTTTTTTTGCCCTTGTTTTAGCAAAAACATTTTCGTTGCCCCTAAATTTTCGATAAAGTCTCAGAAAATATCGTTCATACGGTTGAATGCGAGCGGGATATAATTCACTGTAGTATTCTCTTGCTCTCAAGGAGGATTTTCTGCACACTAAATAGCATTCTAACATATCACACTTTTCTTCATGGGAGAACATTTTTCTTTAAATTAATGACACAATAAAGCTTATAAACAAGTATTTACACTAATGTTTGACATTATTTGATTTTATCATTGTTTTCCAAAGCCTTCTAGTTGCGAGTATGTCCAGTTTAACAATTTGTCGCTTATCTTAATGCTGTCAAATCGCGAACGCCATGTTGTTTTCATAGCCGTCTTAATATTATAATACTGCAAATAATTAAAAATATTTATCGTTATTTTGACTTTATTTTTGACTTTAGCGGAAAAGTCATTATGAACTTTTTTGTTTAAAATTTGATGCTTTAACAGAAAAAAATATAATATACAGGGGTTTCCATTTAAAAAAATGTTATTTTACTGAAACAAATCAAAATAACGACTCTCAATTGTTTTTTTTATTTCTCATTTTTACCAGCGTTAAAAATGCTACTAGTTTGCTAATTTAAACAACTTGTATTTTACTAATAACAAAGTTACCAATGGTGGACACTTAATTTGGATAACCCTGTATATATGCAACATGCAGACATTTTGGCCCCAACTTAAGAGATCCGCCGGGTGGTACCTCACGTTCTATGACCATTCAAAAACGAAAAGAAAAGTCGCTCCCTGTGTGATTCTTTTGATAAATAGCAGGAGAGAGGGTGGGGGAATCTCGTCATCATCTATTAGTTTCATCTCTAAAGTCGATGTTAATTTTATAATGTCTCATTTAGTTATATAAACAAGTACATTTTTACAAAATACAATCAACCCAACTGCAGTAACTGAAAAGAATCAAGATTTAATTGTGCTTTCAAAAGAAATCTAGACATCTCATATTCTGAAATCCATCAAGCCGTTCAAAATATGAATTTCAGGGTTGATTTTTTTTAATTAAGACCCGCTACTGTTTTTATGAAATTTTAATATAGTCAGCGACATTCGCACTGCTAACCCTGTGAAATAGAATTTTTTGTACAAGCTTACATATTATTTCACAGAAAATAGACGCATTTCAGGAGCATTATAGAAAGAATGGCAGCAGTGTTCAATTTTACTCCCCCTAGGCGGCGATAGTTTGGTTGGAGGTCGATCTGTCAAAACTTGAGAAAGAGACAGATTTCATAGAAAGGAAAGCTGTTTATAACTTAAGACATGATAGCCAGCCTAAATAACGCCTTCCAGATTACCCCATTGGCACACGTTTGCTGAGAGTCGATAAAATCCAATTCATATGTATATCCTATTTCGTAAAAGTATAATTTCTTCTCAACGGGGACATTCAACGTATTGCTTATTTTTGATGACATGGGGGTATGGTCTGGATGCTGATGCTGATTACGTCAGCAATACTATTTTTTTTACTTTTTCGGAATTGCTTCAAAATTTAGTCGATTTTGAGTTAAAAACATGGCAGCCCTGCTCGAAAGCGAAATTTATCTTCAGAGATACGCCAACGTTATGAATAGTGGACGCGTTTTTCATTATTCCCATTAAATTACAGAAAACGATTCTCTAACAACTTTAGACTAAAACTCTTACCTGTACTCCTCATCAGTATCAATAATCTCAAACCCAAACGTATCTTCCAGCCTTGGTTGCTGCTGTTTCTTCTGCGGTTTATTTTGCCTATGTACAGCCGGTGGCGTAGAAAAGGGCTGGCGAGGGCATGGGATCTTTCCAAGGGCCTGTGAAGTACTACCGGCGGTACAACTGTTGAAGGAGAAGCCCTAGGTGGCAGTGGAGGCGCTTCGACGATGTCCGAAGGACTTTCTGATAACATGTGACATACTGGACTTTCTGGAAGGAAAATGCACAGATGGAATATAGCAACATTGTCTTCAAATCTATATAGGAATCACTGTTCAAATCGTAAAGTAACCGACTGTTTTGGTCAAAGTTTATTGCGTTCATGATCAAACCCACGAGTAGCCCAAGAGCGCTATTCAAGCGAAACGAAACAATAAAACACTACACTTTCTGGATATTTATATTCATGCAAATATGTATAATGCTATATTCGCTATGCAACAGCACAACATCCAACGTTCATCTTATGGAGTACCTAGGCAAAGTTATCTATTCGATAGCTGAAATATCGACCATTTCTGAAGAGGGTGCAGTTTATCCATCGAGATAGTATACCGGATGTTTCAAATTCGAACCTCATGACGGAAACTGTAAGAGATATGAAGTCACTTAGATGGGGGCAAAGTTTTTTAATCAGAATTAAAAACTCTATTCGTCTGTGTATAAATGTGATATGGCTTCCACAAGAAAAAACAAATTTAATGCTGGAGAACAAGTGATGAAAAAAATGTGGCAATGTTAATGTACAATTTATTTTGAAATCCTACTACGAATAAAATCAGGAAACATTAAATCGATTTTGGGAAAACTCGGTGTTTCCCCTCTCTCCAGAAGTACTTCGAATTTCAAAACTTCTAAGCGGCATTTTGTTAAATACGCAACTTGTCCCCATTTAAGCGGCTAATAAACTATTTTATGTAAAATCCTATAAAACGACAAAAAATCTATAAAATGTCATCTTGCAGACTAGGTGGTTTTTAGGGTACAAACAGTAATATAATAATAATATGTGTATTGGTCCTGCTTGTGTATAAAATCAGTGTGAGAAAATCATTACTGAATATGCTGCAATGAAGTATATCTATTAGCTGTGCCCGACCGGTTATTATATATTGTCCTTTCTGAACACAGGTATGTTCAAAGTTGTAAATTACGATTTTGTAGTTGTTTTTAGGATGCAAACAGTCATTCCACGTTTGCTCACTAGGATCGTTGTGAGCGTCCATCTATAGAGAAATAGCTCAACTACGCGCATTGTTGGTTGCCTATGTTTTGTTAAGCCGAGTAGTCTATAGTTTTCATCTCTGAGAAGAAAGTTGGTTTAATAGCAAGATCGCATCAGGATGATTATGTGTATTGGTCTGCATGTGTATAAAATCAATGATATTTGCTGTGTGAGAAAATCATTACTGAATATGCTGCCAATATACATATATTAGCTGTGCCCGACGGGTTATTTATATGTTGTCCTTACTGATGACAGGTTATGTTCAAAGTTATAAATCACGATTTATTACGTTTTTTTTTTTTGTTTTCAAAAACTTTGAGGAGAATTACGGAAAATCACCACCGCGCCCGCGTTGTGTGTAATTAGTGTAAGCATGTATATGACTTGTAATTCGACAGTGTACAGTGAATATAATTATTTTTTATCTCTCTAAGTCGATACGCAACAAATTTCTAGCTTTGAATCCCAAGTAAGTGTATTTGAGACAAGAATCCGATCAAATTATCAACACATATTAGAGAACACAAATCCTCACTATGCATCTATGCATTGCCGTTAACTCCAGTAAAGCCATCTCTGAAGCAGATTTTACATCACAACAGAGCCAAACATTGGTAAGTGAAGCATCATGACGTTTAGGCAACACGTACAACTACAAAAAGAGTCCACAACGTGTCCATCAGCTAGTCCATCTTGTAGAAAAACCTACACAATGTCACTAAAAACCAATACAATGTTAAAAAAATCGACATAATGTCACTTTTCATCATTTGTCACTTTATTTTACGTTTGAACTTTGTAGGCAATTT